AATAAGGGTGAACAGTAAAGAAAAATAGGTAAAATACATGAGTTGATAAACTGTAAGAGGAGTGGTTGAGTTATGCCTGAGTGCCTTAATTTCTTAATGTAAAAAGTCAGACGAAATATTCCTTTAGAAATCGCTAAGAAATGAGAGGACCAGGATAGGTCAGAAGAGAGAATTAATCCAAGATACTTAACTTTAGACTTGGTTTCTATAAAAGTATCATCAATTTTGCAAGGGTCATAGGAACCAACAGCTTCATTTAACTTTCTTTTACATCGGAAACTGAAATTAACAGTTTGACATTTGGAAGGATTTAGTTTAAGGCCGTTAGGCGAAGACCATTTACTAATTCCTGATAGAAAGCTATTCATCTTAGTACAGTCAAGCTGCGAGTAAAGCTTTCAAATTCAATTCATTGTAAAATCTTTTGACATTAGTCTGAACATATTCTAAAGTGTCACTTCCTTAAAATGTAGTAGATTCAACTCCACATGAAGTATCACTGGGGATTACACCCAAACTAGTTATTGAAAAGTCTCTTGAAGAAAGCTACAGCTCGGAAGGCGAAAGAAAATGCCAGAATATCTACTGACTAATTAATAGAGTTTCCATAATCCAGCTGAACTTGAAAAACAGTGATCCTTGTTTTACCTTTTTCCGGTTTATTAAGTCATAAGAAACGATTTGAATAAACCAGTTCGAAGTCAGCATCTAATGACTGGCTCCTCTACTGTACTCCTTTAGTTTCAACTGAAAATGATCGAGTCTGTGTAAACATCGATGATTCACGTCTGGCCATCTCCTCCCTTCATGTATAAATTTAGCATGAGACGGATGGGGATATTTTCAATAATTTTTGCATTACTTGTTTTAAGTTTGACCACAGGTTGATGTCAGTTAGAGAAACATCAGAAACCAGGGAGTACTGGACACCTGTTTTGTTCTAGTTTGCAACTCTTCAAAAGTGCGCATCTGCCGTGAAGTGAACCGAGGATTTTCTGTAAACAGGGAAAGCTCATAGACCACTAAGCCACCGAGACCCGACTAAATGGCCAGTCCACTTATTCTAACTTCTACCAATTCGCGTTATATTAGAGCGATCACCATCAAATGTCATCGGCTAGTATTTGTCTTCACTGCTGACGGGGAAGGCACCAATAATCTAGTTGACACCGATCGATTAGTTTGACCTATGTAATTGACCTCACAGTCATTACATGAATTTTCATTCACTATATTATTTTTCTTAATTGGGTCTTTTGCCTCCCTAAGCCGACAAAGTTAATCTCTGAGTGAGTTCGTTGGTTCAAATGCCACCCTAATTTCCGCCTCATTTAGAATTCAACAGAAGACCTCCGATGTTCCGTCTTTATAAGGCAGGACTACAGAGGCTTTTAATTCTATGTTATTTTCGTCGTTTTCATTACTAGTCTTATTTTTCCTATGGTTTCTTATACATTTCTGAATAAATCCCGGTGGGTAGTCATGCACTGGTAATATTTTCTTTATTTGTTTGATTTCATTACTTAAATCCTCTGGCTTACTATTTAGGCTCCTAGTCCGACATTTAACTAAACTTATCTTCCCCGATTCTGGATGGGATGAAATAAAGTCTAAGTATTTATCGGAACATAAAAATTTACCTACAGCTAGAACCATTGACCCTATTAAGTTAAATAACCTAGAAAAAAGCTCGGCCATTGCATTGCATTCAATTGCATGTAATCACACAATAAGTTGGGTGGGACAGGGTGAGAGTATTAAAAAGTAATATAGTTGGGTGAAGAGAGAGGTTAATCACTGAAGATTTGTTTATCGATTCAACACCGCACACACAACGCCTATATCGGAGATATGGAAAGTGGTAACAAACAGCAAGGGGAGGAAATATATAAAGCAAATCATGAAGCCATGTGACTAAAGTGACATGATTATGGACAATAATTTATGCTCGGAACGTCATCCACTTGTTAATAATGCATAACTGAGTGATATTTGAAATCAACTTGTCTAATGTAAAAAATGAGCCATATCTCCACTGCATCTAATGATATACCTATTGTTTGGGTAACTATGCATTAAGTTTACACAGGAGAACCAGGCATTCTTAAGCAATCCCCCATTCTGTCACACAATCACAACAGCAGGAATGGAGGGCTGGGAGGGCTTCTGTTTCCGATGAACCAGCAAAATTAAAACTTATCATGAGAAAAGAAAATCTGTGATAATAATAACAACGTTTTCTCTTACCTAGTTTATTCACATTAAATATTTTGACCTTCACATATTCACATTCTTCCGCGGTTAAATTAAAGTCGTTTAAATATCGTATAAATGTGCTGACGATATCAAGAGAATCATGATTAGTTATCAGATATCTCATTGTTGCTGATGCTGGCAAATTATTCATAGTGGAAGCATTTGATATTGATATTGATGTAGTATTTCTTGGAAGCAATAGATTTTCAATCCCATGTCTGTTATTATTATTAATATTCTTATTGCAGAATTGTTGCTGATGAGAATACTCGATCACATGAATATAAAATATGTAGATCCAATTTGTGTTCATTAAATCAGCAGCCTTCAAATAACAACAACAAAAAAATAAGAATTCTTTAAAATGTGAAATATACACATTAACCCTATTTGGGACTCATCATCTGGATGTACTTACATTCCGCAGTGAGTGATGATGTCCCCACCATGGCTCGTACCCAGTGCCCATAGTTTCAAACGCCAAGGCGTTATTCGTCGTGTCTGAGCCTTGGTGGGGAACATCATCGTTCACTGTAGAATGCAGGTACATCCAGATGACAACGAGTCCTAAATAGGACGAAATGCGCATTCTGGATTCCACTGCTAGTCACCATCCACCAATTGAATTCTAGAATAATGCCCAGGCATTTTCGAAGCATCTGCACAAGAAGCCTACATGTCAACCTGAGACCGAGCACTTCAGTCCAATCAATCGATGGAGAAATCTAAAGTTGAATTAAATACGCATTAGATCACAGAAAAAATGAGAAAAAAGGGTGGTAGCGGAAAAAATTTCCCTTTCGACGAAGTCATGAGATATGCTGTACATTTCTGGATATATTTTGAAGATCACATACGAAGAGAAAATATGATGCATTAAACTACGCGGAAAATTCCGTACATTATATCAACATTGTTCAGAATAAAGCTATTACTATTAGCAGTGGGATTCATAACTCACGCTTCGTCTCATTCATGACTCGTCAGATGCATGTGCTTGCTGTCTTCAGTGATTCTTAGTATTCCCACTGAAACTCGAACCTAGTCGCCATCAAATCAGACACTAAAAGCATTATTCACTACAGTCATGACAGCCATCTCGTGCTGGTGTTTCTTTTTCTTAATCTACATGTTTTTACTTACAAGTAGTTAGAATTTAACACAGAAATAATATGAAAAAATTAAGAGAAGACAGTGGCAGCAAAGAAAATTTCCTTTTCGACGAAGCCATCAGTTAGGCTGTACGTTGGTGAATATATGTAGTAAAGGGGTGAGGAAGTTCCAGAAGTATTTCCAATCGAGGGGAAAATTATAGAGAATATTAAGACTATAAATGTGGATTCGAAACATAATAATAACAAAAAATTAACAGGGAGTTCGGATAAAAAACAGGTGAAATTACTGTTTATGACAGCCACCGTAAAGACAAAGGTTGAATGTATTTTTTCGCATACACAACGCCCACTTGAATTTCTGGATCATTAGTGCTTCAGATATACTCAGATGTCTTGATCTTACTTCCTTTGAGGGGTTTGATCGTGTCTTGCATAGAACTTTGAAGGATTTTTCAACCAAGGCTGTGTCTTGAACTCGCTAGATGTTCTGTTATCAAGATATAAACACGTTTGCGTTCTCCCTATGCTAGCTAAGTTGGACAGTGTTCTCAAGAGCGTTTTATATGCGGATACATGGTGTACTCAGCTCCACAGGAGCTAGTGAACTGGTACATGCATGATGATTTTGCCCAATATGACAACTTATCTTTTACATACAGACCAGATCCTTTCTTGCATGAAAATGTTACTGGCAGTCTGGCAGTGAAGTATGCTTTACTGAAAGATTGTGGAAGCCATTATCCGAGAATTTCTACCTTATTATAACTTTTAAATACAAGATTCAGTAGCAGAATCCTTTTGGGAGTGACGTGGATTCAGGTTATTGTCTAAGAATATGAGTAAGGA